CTTGGCCCCTTTGCCACTCCGGGTGCTCTAGCACTTGCTGCCTATAAACTGAGGTCATTAATTTTTCTGGGCCCCATAGTTGCTCTTGGGCAGGGCCCCAGCTGCTTGTCTGTTCTGTGGACAGTTCTGTAGTCAGCAGCTATTCTGTTAAACAAGCAGCTAATAAGCCAGCCCCTTATTGAATACACAAATAACCTGCACATAAAAGTGAGGAGCTTAGGGCGATGTTTTGGTTTCAGCCCCTTATTTGAAGATGCTTACCACTGTCCCTTACTGCCATAGCCTCCCACATGTGGTGTCAACATGTGTTTAGGTGGCCTAATGAAACACCACTGCATCCCACTGACAAGATAAACGACTTCTTCTCAACCATAGGTTCTAATCTCGCCAATAAAATCCCACGCACCAATGCCCATGCCGGGGACTACCTAGATGGGAATTTCCCAAATTCCTTCTATCTTGCACCAACTGAGCCCATGGAAGTCACCGAGATTATAAAGTCACTTAAAAATAACTCAGGGAATCTGTCTCATGTCCCACCATTATTGTACAAGAGAGCGGCCCATGTCCTCTCGCATGCTATCTCATTACTTTTTAACAAGTCACTAGAAACTAGCACCTTCCCGAAACTACTCAAGACGGCAAGGGTTACACCAATACATAAAGGTGGTGACCCTACAGATTTAAACAACTATAGGCCAATATCAAACTTACCATTGCTATCCAAAATCTTTGAGAAACTCGTGCACAGGAGACTATATTCATTTATAACGGCACAAAACATACTCAACCCCTGCCAATTTGGATTCAGGAAAAATAAAAGCACTAATGATGCAATCATAAAAATGCTAGATCTGCTTTACACAGCATTGGAAAATAAGGAATATCCACTAGGAATTTTTATTGACCTAAGAAAAGCTTTTGACACAGTAGACCACGGCATTCTACTCCACAAACTTGACCATTATGGTATAAGAGGCCATGCGCTTGCATATTTCAAATCTTACCTTACTAATAGGTATCAGTATGTCACCATTAAAGACACAGCATCAACAACACAGCCACTTGATACTGGAGTTCCACAGGGAAGTGTCCTTGGTCCCCTGCTCTTCCTCGTATACATCAGTGATCTTCCAAACGTATCTCAACACCTGAACCCCATTCTCTTTGCTGACGACACGACTTATGTCATCTCTCACCCTAATCTTGCCACCCTCAACACCATTGTTAATGAGGAGCTGATCAAAATATCGACTTGGATGACAGCCAATAAACTTATGCTTAACACTGACAAAGCCTACTACATTATGTTTGGTAGCAGAGCAGGAGATGCGCAAATTTTACATTAAGATCGACAACACTCTAATTGCCAGGCATAATGAGGGCAAATTCCTAGGCCTATACCTCGACAACAACCTGAATTTCAGCACCCATATCCAACACATAACCAAAAAAGTATCCAAAACGGTTGGGAGCCTCTCCAAGATACAATACTACGTGCCGCAAACTGCCCTTCTCACACTATACCATTCACTTATATATCCATACCTCACCTATGCTATCTGTGCTTGGAGTTCAACTGCAGCAACACACCTGAAGCCAATAATAACCCAACAAAAAGCCGCAGTAAGAATAATCACTAAATCCCATCCTTGGCAACACACCCCCCCACTCTTCATAGATCTAAACTTACTCCCTGTTCAGTACATCCACACTTACTACTGTGCAATCTACATCTACAGGACCTTAAATTCCAATATTAACCTTGACCTAAAACGCTTTCTTGATAGTTGCGACAGAACCCACAAGCACAACACCAGACACAAACATCTCTGACATTCCCCGTGTCCGACTAAACCTATACAAAAATTCAATGTATGTCAAAGGCCCTAAAATCTGGAATACCCTACCTGAAAATTCTAAAACTGCAGACACATTCATCACCTTCAAAACTACCATCAGAAAACATCTTATCTCCCTGATACACCCCGTCAACTAACTACATGAATACCACCTGGTGGTTCACACTTACTCACTCACCCATTTGACCATAAACAGAAATATCAATTTCAATCTCAAAATAATGAATCTTAACTAGTCATAAGTTGGCCTGTGATACTCCAATACTGAAACTATGTATAGTACCAAAACAAAAGCATTCACATTGTTAAACTCACAAACTAGTATTTAGTCACTTAGCCATAATACCAACTTACCTCATAATTTTGTAATATTTTAAACTTAAGATTTAATTTAAGTCTGCCCGAAATGCCTAGCCATGCTAGGTGTTCTAGTGGTACACTCTGTAATTATTATTTTACTACATGTAAACCACACAATAACCAAATTCTGTAAACTCAGCATTGTAATCCTTATGGAGAATAAATTTTGAATTTGAATTTGAATTTTACAGCCTCCATGTTTTCAGGAGCCCTGTTCATGTCATTTGTCATTCTTTCCTATACCAGCTGGAGTCTTTCTCCACAGAACCTCTTATAATTTGTGAGTCAGCTTACTGTACACCAGATGGCATGGAAATCCCTAGATTCTGTTCTCTCCATTATTAAGGATATTTTCTAACTTATGTCTGAAATGTTTCACCATTGTCACTTGGCCTTCCTCTATTGCACTTGACCTTGATAACTGCATCAGGGTTACTTTTTCTGTTCATTTGGAATCTGTGAAGTGGGAAAAGGCATGCCTCTCCTGAACCCATGACCCTAGATTTGTAATTGCCTCTGGCTGTTAAAGTTGGAATTGGTCTCCAGGAGTCGCTCCTTACTTGTTCAACCCAGGTGGATTGCTAAGAGGGTCCTCTGCAAGGTCTTTCATCATGTTACATTTCATTGTGGCTTCTGTAAGTTCTGCTTTCATCTTAACAGGCTGTATTACAATATTGATGTTATGCTCTTCGGCTTTCTGACCCCATGCTGAATATTCACACAGTCTTTGTACTGAGGGTGTGTGTGCGTGTGTGTGTGTGTTTACCTTGATCCTCTCAAGATGCCTTGATACCAGTGAGGGGCTGTTGATTTAGGGGTCTGGACTTTTCCTCCACTTTCCTGGCTCAAGTCTGATTGCTGCTAATTTTCTCAGGCACTAATTGACCTCAACAGGAGTGCTTTGCCATGATCAAATTAAAATTGTAAATCCACCTTGACATCATGGTTCCTGACTCTTTTTCTCTGTCAGCATGTGGCTGTCCATGTGGTGTTACTGATATTCCAAACTATAGGCTTCTTTGTCAACCACACCAATCTCTGCTTCTGTTAAAATCTCTGCCAGTCAATTGACACTTCCCATGCTATACACAACTCACACATAGGAGAGAGAAGCTTATGACAATGTGTGACTGTAAATGGTCTGAGTTGGACCAAAATATCATTGTAAGCTTCTCTTTCATATGTGCGGGTTATTTGTGTATTGTTCCAGTCATGGTATTGTGCCTTTTTGTTCTTTCCATGCTATTTCATGTCTGGATTAGGGCTTCAATAACCAAAGATCACCTTATCTGATCTACTTTAAATTTTAATACTGGTATGTTAATGTCAAATTAAGACCATCTGGCACCACTCCAAGCCATTTGTGAGAAGATACTAGTTGGAAGACTGTAGAATCAGCAGAAAGTGTGGCAAATGCCCTGAGGTATTTTCAAGTAAAACTTTAGTGTATCATTAAGCAGTAGGCCCCAGGTAAGAAGTCATTAAGGTAAGATTTGCTGGGATTTTTAGCCTGGAGGATTAACCACCCATATAACCCAAGAAAGTCAGTGTGTCATAGAGAACTGTCTGTCTTATATTCATTATGGTCCTTCAGTCTTGTCCCCTCAACAGTTAACCAACACCCTGGTACCTACTTACTGCTAAGTGAACAAGGACAACAGGTATAAGGAAGCACACCCAACATTTCCACCCGTACCGAGGATCGAAACACAGGCACTGAGTGTGTAAGGCAAAGTGTTGCCAACCAAGCCACAAGCTGGAGACTGCTGCACATCTGCAAGAGTTATAGCAATACAGGATAGATATGTCATCACATACTATAAACAACATACCATATTTCATGGCTTATTAGACGCATTTTTTTTTTCATAAAATGTCTCCAAAAGCCACCCTGCGTCCTATAAACTAAAGGTCAGTGACAGGAGCTATAAGTTTGGGGTGGGCTCTAGCTCTCCCAGTTATGTCCGATGCCGAGCATTGAGACTAAAACAAGTCTTATAAGCCGCAAAATACAGTATTAGGGGAGTAGAAAACTGGGGAAGAAGAAAAGAGGAGAGGACCAAGGATTAACCCTAGTGAAGCACCACATAACATGGAACATGTATTTGAAGTCACATCCCCAAGTATATTTCAAATTAACACCCTTAATGATCTGCAAAATGGGTTCCTTAATGCTGCTGAAGAGTTCTTGATCCAAGGAATTGTAACTACCTTTTAACATTGTTTATAACCATATTTAATAATTCAAACTCTATCTTCTCCTTTCAACAAATGGCCATATCCCACTAAGGCAGGGTGGCCCAAAAGGTAAAAAATGAAAGTCTCTCCTTTTAAATTTAGTAATGTATTCAGGAGAAGGGGTTGCTAGCCCCTTGCTTCGGCATTTTAGTCGCCTCTTACGACACACATGGCTTACCGAGGAAGGATTGTTCTCCACTTCTTCATGGAGAATATAAATAATTACTGCATGAAAATAATTCAGACTAGTTGAATTATGCTCGTAAATAAGATGTTTGCCTTCGTTCACAAAATGTAAATTTAAGAGTAGACTTGAATAATTAGATAAGTGGCATAGGATCTGTGAAACTTTGTTCCCAGATTTTTTTTTCTAGAAAGTGGCAAAAACATTTATTTTTCTGAATTTCTTGGAGGTTTGAAGCATAAATTCACTGTACCCTTCTGTATTTAATATTAAGAGATTATAGTGAGAAATATAAAGGTAATTTTCTGGAGAGAGATAGTACCAGTTGGTTACCAATAATAATTATTGCATTACAGATCCGCTTGTGCCAGGCAGTCGAAGTTCCTTACCCAGATCTCTACCTGGGTCACATTCTGGCACTATTGGTCGGGAAGGGAAGTCCAACACAGGGACCACATTGACTGGAGCTGCTGCAGGTATTTTTTTATTTTTTTTTTTTTTTCAACAAGTCGGCCATCTCCCACCGAGGCAGGGTGACCCAAAAAAGAAAGAAAATCCCCAAAAAGAAAATACTTTCATCATCATTCAACACTTTCACCACACTCGCACATTATCACTGTTTTTGCAGAGGGGCTCAGAATACAACAGCTTAGAAGCATATACGTATAAAGATACACAACATATCCCTCCAAACTGCCAATATCCCAAACCCCTCCTTTAAAGTGCAGGCATTGTACTTCCCATTTCCAGGACTCAAGTCCGACTATAAGAAAATAACCGGTTTCCCTGAATCCCTTCACTAAATATTACCCTGCTCACACTCCAACAGATCGTCAGGTCCCAAGTACCATTCGTCTCCATTCACTCCTATCTAACATGCTCATGCACGCTTGCTGGAAGTCCAAGCCCCCTTGCTGCAGGTATATCACCCCTTAACAAAGTACAGTCCATAACACATTACAGTCCATAACACATCTGCTCTCCTTGATGCCTGGTACATTACCTCTTAACACAGTACAGTCCATAACACATCTACTGCTCTCCTTGATGCCTGGTACATTACCCCTTAATGGGTAATGTACCAGGCATCAAGGAGAGCAGATGTGTTATGGACCGTACTGTGTTAACAAAGTACAGTACAGTCCAGTCAGTCCAGTCAGTACAGTCCATAACATATCTGCTGCTCTCCTTGATGCTGGTGTGGGACTCTTGATCCAAGGAAGTGTACTTAACCTCCTCTTCCTTGGATTGAATTTGAATGCCTCTTATTTCCCAGGTCCCACATGACCTCTTATTTAGTGTTTCCTTCTGATAAAAAATAGAATAACCCTTCTATTTAATTACTGCTGTAAAACCAGCAGATAGCATCATTGTTGTTGGTTAATGTATATTGTATACAGTGGACCCCCGCATAACGATCACCTCCGAATGCGACCAATTATGTAAGCGTATTTATGTAAGTGCGTTTGTAAGTGTATGTTTGGGGATCTGAAATGGACTAATCTACTTCACAATATTCCTTATGGGAACAAATTCGGTCAGTACTGGCACCTGAACATACTTCTGGAGTGAAAAAATATCGTTAACCGGGGGTCCACTGTATATGATAATACTGTATATTCAGAGTCATCATTGAGCATACTTAAATACAAGACAATTGAGTGAATGATGGTGAATGCATTCTTTTTTTCTTTTTTGGTCACCCTATCTCGTTAGGTACAATACAATACAAGTTTGTTTTAACGTGATATATTGTTTATACAGTAATGAGTGTCACTTGGGAGCATGTTGAAGGCCCATAGTTATGCAAAGCATTTCAAGCAAGCTTAAGCCTAATTTAAAATTACAATGGTACATCATTGCACGTGATTATAAGAAATAATTAGTTGAATTATAGTCTAGTAAGTTTATAGGTACTATCTTTTTCATCACTTTTAAAGATAGCTCAAGTTTTTGACACTAAAGATTTTTGGAGAATAAATATTTAGAGTTGTTAGTGAATGTTATTTTAGTAATCACTGTATCTGAAGCAGTAATAAGTGCATCTTCAAGATGCTGGTGCAAGCCTCTTGAATCTGTCCCCCATTGCCCAGGTGTTGTGCAACCCCCTACAGGTCTGGTGCTTCCCACATGACTATAATAATATAGTACATATATAGCATAACTTGAACATACATAGAATCCATAAACTGGCATTCTGTATCAGAGTTGTCTTTCAGTTTAACCCTAGAGAGGTATACTTCTAGAAATATTTAACCCTAGAGAGGTATACTTCTAGAAATGCTTAACCCTAGAGAGGTATAGTTCTAGAAATATTTAACCCTAGAGAGGTATACTTCTAGAAATGCTTAACCCTAGAGAGGTATACTTCTAGAAATGCTTAACCCTAGAGAGGTATACTTCTAGAAATATTTAACCCTAGAGAGGTATACTTCTAGAAATATTTAACCCTAGAGAGGTATACTTCTAGAAATAGTCTCCATCTGTTACACCCTGGTATGCTCTTCCTGATGAGAACAAATATTAAAATATAATGATTGTAATCAGAATTTATTGTTGATACTGGAGGGAGGGGGTAAAGGAGATTTAGTGTGCAAGGGGCTTAGACACCCAGCAAGCATGTGTGATCATGTTAGGAGTGAGTGAAGTAAGTGGTTTTTATGACTTGATGTGCTGTTGGAGTGTGAGCAAGGTAACATTCATGAAGGGGTTCAGGGAAACTGGTGAGCTGGATGGGTACTCTTGGGTTTAAATTGGTACTTGGTTTAATACCTAAAACTGCTAGTAATGATAAAAACTGCTAGTAATAATTTAATATAGAGTAATTATTATAATAATGATAATTATTATAATAATGATAATTATTATAATAATGATAATTAAAAACACTGAAAAAATTCATGTTATCCCTTGCTGCAAAATATTATCCACAACATAACTGTTAACTAAGAGATACAATATCCCTTACAATTAATGTTGATAGGTGCTGGAACACTGCGATCATGGCTGATGGACAGCTCTGGGCTCGACCAACTAACTAAAGAAATCACCACAACGCAACACCACGTCCAGCAGTTGGCCCGTCTTCTTGACTCCATTGAACACCAAGACGATATTAGTGTTAGTATTCTTTATAGAATTATCATAGTTATCCCTTTTTTGTTTATATGCTGGTTATATTGTACAGTTGAACCTTAAAACCTGTGGGTTATCAGAAAAGACGCAGATATGGAAAACTTGAATAAGGGTTATACACCGTGTTAAAAAAAATAGACTGAGGACCAAGAGTAACCATGAAGGTGAGAAATGCAAATTATTGGTCCAGCTGTATTGTATATGAGTTAACTTTTATGTGATGACCCTATTTTTACCTGTAATTATGTGTGGCAGGTCCATCTGTAATGTGTATGAGTTACCTTTATGTGAGCTTGTTTCTTCTTGTGTCATACGAGTTGCTTTTATGTCATGACCCTGTTTCTACCCATAATTTTGTGATAGGTTGTTGGTTGGTATATGGCAACCATTCAGGGTGGTACTACTGTCTTGTTAACCCTTTCGGGGTTTAGGCCATACTAGTACGGCTTACGCGCCAGGGTTTTTGAAGTACTAGTACGCATAAATTCTAGTGCCCTCAAATCTAGCAAGAGAAAGCTGGTAGGCCTACATATGAAAGAATGGGTCTATGTGGTCAGTGTGCGCAGTATAAAAAAAATCCTGCAGCACACAGTGCGTAGTGAGAAAAAGAAAAACTTTGACCATGTTTTTGGTTTAAAACAGCGACTTTGCACTGTATTTTCGTATGGTATTTATGATAGTATTCTAGTTTTCCTGGTCTCATTGTATAGAATGGAAGACATATTACAGAAATGTAGATGATTTTGACTGGTTTTACAACGAAAAATACCTTGAAATTGAGCTCAAAGTAGCAGAAATGTTCGATTTTTACCAAAGTTCAAAAGTAAACAAATCATGCCAAGCGTCCAATACACGTCAACTGGTGAGTCTAATATTCTTTTACAAGTGCGCCGATATTATTTATACCATTTCTACACTAATGCAGTAGTCTGCATAACAGTAAATCTTATTATTTTTGTGAGAATAAAAAATCAAAGTGGAAAGCAAAAGAAATGTAAGAGGGGCCTGGGGATGTGACTAATGAACAGAGGAAATGTTATTTTAGTGCCAGGAATGTCTTTCTTGTTTATTCTGGACCCTATTTGGAAATTGGCATCTTTTGAAATTTGTGTGAAATTGGCAAAATTGCTAAATTCTGACCACTTTATTGGATAGTTAAAATTGGTAAATGGGTGGTTTCTTGTACTCATTCGATAGAAAAAACAGAGTTCTAGCGAAATAATTATGATTTTTGTCGACTAGTACACTGGAATTGGCCGAAAATAGGGCTCAAACTGGGCAAAATCGCCGATGCATAAACCTCGTCGAGACCGCTAACTTCACGAGAGCATAATTCCATAAGTTTTCCATCAAATTTCATACTTTTGGTGTCATTGTGATTGGGAAAAAATTCTCTATCTTTTCATAAGAATTTTTTTTTTTTTTATTTTGGCGAACCTGAGAACAAGTCTCTGAGAGGGCCTGGCGACCTTCAAAAGGTTAAATGACTGTGAAATGGAAACTAGGGAATTTTTTCTTCACTCTTGGGAGGATTACTGCATACGTAATAAGGCAAATAGATTACTGGGATACACAAATAACCCGCACATAGAAGAGAGGAGTTTATGACGACGTTTCAGTCCAACTTATACCATTTACAAAGTCACACTAATGAAAAGGCGAGAAGGAGGGAGTATATACAGGCCTGGAGGTGGTGGTAGTAGTAGTGGTGGAGGTAGCAATGGTAGTGGTGGAGTCAGTCAAATACTAAGAAAGAGGAGCACTGCAAGGGAGCTAGGGGCCCACAGAGGGTAGTAGGAGCAAGAACACAGGGGGGGGGGGAAATAATGAAAAATACCCAAGGCAGAAGAAAGACAACACAAAGGAGAAAGAGGGAAGGGGAAGAGGGAGAAGAAGAAAAAGAAATCAGGTTAAGTCATGGGTGTTCTAAAATTTGGAACATTTAACAATGTAGTGGGAAAGGAAGGCATCTACAGAGACAAAGCCAAGACTAAGATTCATACAAGGAAAGTTGTGTATAAGGGAGGATTCAACCAGATGGCAACTGTGGAAGTATGGTAGACAGTTTTAGCAGAAGACCAGTCAATAGGATGACTGTGATCTCTGACATGACAGAAAACAGCATCCTATTGACTGGTCTTTTGCTAACACTGTCTACCATACTTCCACAGTCACCGTCTGGTTGAATCCTCCCTTATACACAACTTTCCTTGTATGAATCTTATTCTTGGCTTTGTCTCTGTAGATGCCTTTTTTCCCACTACATTGTTAAATGTACCAAATTTTAGAACACCCATGACTTAACCTGATTCCTTTTTCTTCTTCTCCCTCTTCCCCTTTCCTCTTTCTCCTATGTGTTGTCTTTCTTCTTCCTTGGGTATTTGTTCCTTCATTATTTTCCCCCCCTCTGTGTTCTTGCTCCTACTACCCTCTGTGGGCCCCTAGCTCCCTTGCAGTGCTCCTCTTTCTTAGTAGTATTTGACTGACTCCACCACTACTACTACTACTGCTGCTGCTGCTGCTGCTGCTGCCGCCGCTGCCGCCACAGCTGCCACCGCCGCTGCCACCGCCTCCTGACCTATATATACTCCCTCTTTCTCTCCTTTACCCCCTTCTTACCACCTTTCCTAGGCCAACCCTTACCCTGCCTTCCCTCCACTACAGATTTATAGACTGTCATTCTATTTTGTTCCACCCTCTCTACATGTCCGAACCACCTCAGCAACAACTCCTCAGTCCCCTGGATAATACTTTTGGTAATCTTGCACCTCCTCCTAATTTCCAAACTACAAATTCTCTGCATTATATTCACATCACACATTGCCCTCAGACACAACATCACCACCTCCAGGCTTCTCCTTGTCACATTATTTATTTATTTTTTTTTCAACAAGTCGGTCGTCTCCCACCGAGGCAGGGTGACCCAAAAAAAAGAAAGAAAATCTCCAAAAAGAAAATACTTTCATCATCATTCAACACTTTCACCACACTCACACATTATCACTGCTTTTGCAGAGGTGCTCAGAATACAACAGCTTAGAAGCATATACGTATAAAGATACACAACATATCCCTCCAAACTGCCAATATCCCAAACCCCTCCTTTAAAGTGCAGGCATTGTACTTCCCATTTCCAGGACTCAAGTCCGACTATATGAAAATAACCGGTTTCCCTGAATCCCTTCACTAAATATTACCCTGCTCACACTCCAACAGATCGTCAGGTCCCAAGTATCATTCGTCTCCATTCACTCCTATCTAACACGCTCATGCACGCTTGCTGGAAGTCCAAGCCCCTCGCCCACAAAACCTCCTTTACCCCCTCTTTCCAACCCTTTCGAGGACGACCGCTACCCCTCTTTCCTTCCCCTATAGATTTATATGCTTTCCATATCATTCTACTTTGATCCATTCTCTCTAAATGACCAAACCACCTCAACAACCCCTCTTCTGCCCTCTGACTAATGCTTTTATTAACTCCACACCTTCTCCTAATTTCCACACTCCGAATTTTCTGCATAATATTTACACCACACATTGCCCTTAGACAGGACATCTCCACTGCCTCCAACCGTCTCCTTGCTGCTGCATTTACCACCCAAGCTTCACATCCATATAAGAGTGTTGGTACTAATATACTTTCATACATTCCCTTCTTTGCCTCCATAGATAACGTTTTTTGACTCCACATATACCTCAACGCACCACTCACCTTTTTCCCTCATCAATTTTATGATTAACCTCATCCTTCATAAATCCATCCGCCGACACTCAACTCCCAAGTATCTGAAAACATTCACTTCTTCCATACTACTCCTCCCCAATTTGATATCCAATTTTTCTTTATCTAAATCATTTGATACCCTCATCACCTTACTCTTTTCTATGTTCACTTTCAACTTTCTACCTTTACACACATTCTCAAACTCATCCACTAACCTTTGCAATTTTTCTTTAGAATCTCCCATAAGCACAGTAAGTACTTCTTTTACAACCCCATCTATAAATATATTAAACAACCATGGTGACATTACACATCCCTGTCTAAGACCTACTTTTACCGGGAAGTATTCTCCCTCTCTTCTACATAACCTAACCTGAGCCTCACTATCCTCATAAAAGCTCTTTACAGCATTTAGTAACTTACCACCTATTCCATATACTTGCAACATCTGCCACATTGCTCCTCTATCCACTCTATCATATGCCTTTTCTAAATCCATAAATGCAATAAAAACTTCCCTACCTTTATCTAAATACTGTTCACATATATGCTTCAATGTAAACACTTGATCTACACATCCCCTACCCACTCTGAAGCCTCCTTGCTCATCCGCAATTCTACATTCTGTCTTACCTCTAATTCTTTCAATTATAACCCTACCGTATACTTTTCCTGGTATGCTCAGTAAGCTTATTCCTCTATAATTTTTACAATCTCTTTTGTCCCCTTTCCCTTTATATAAAGGGACTATACATGCTCTCTGCCAATCCCTAGGTACCTTCCCCTCTTTCATACATTTATTAAACAAAAGTACCAACCACTCCAACACTATATCCCTCCCTGCTTTTAACATTTCTGTCATGATCCCATCAGTTCCAGCTGCTTTACCCCCTTTCATTCTACGTAATGCTTCACGTACCTCCACCACACTTGCATTCTGCTCTTCTTCACTCCTAAAAGATGGTATACCTCCCTGGCCAGTGCATGAAATTACTGCCTCCCTTTCTTCCTCAACATTTAAAAGTTCCTCAAAATATTCTCGCCATCTACCTAATACCTCCATCTCCCCATCTACTAACTCCCCTACTCTGTTTTTAACTGACAAATCCATACTTTCTCTAGGCTTTCTTAACTTGTTTAACTCACTCCAAAATTTTTTCTTATTTTCATTAAAATTTCTTGACAGTGCCTCTCCCACTCTATCATCTGCTCTCCTTTTGCACTCTCTCACCACTCTCTTCACCTTTCTTTTACTCTCCATATACTCTGCTCTTCTTATAACACTTCTGCTTTGTAAAAACCTCTCATAAGCTACCTTTTTCTCTTTTATCACACCCTTTACTTCATCATTCCACCAATCACTCCTCTTTCCTCCTGCCCCCACCCTCCTATAACCACAAACTTCTGCCCCACATTCTAATACTGCATTTTTAAAACTATTCCAACCCTCTTCAACCCCCCCACTACTCATCTTTGCACTAGCCCACCTTTCTGCCAATAGTCGCTTATATCTCACCCGAACTTCCTCCTCCCTTAGTTTATACACTTTCACCTCCCTCTTACTTGTTGTTGCCACCTTCCTCTTTTCCCATCTACCTCTTACTCTAACTGTAGCTACAACTAAATAATGATCCGATATATCAGTTGCCCCTCTATAAACATGTACATCCTGGAGCCTACCCATCAACCTTTTATCCACCAATACATAATCTAATAAACTACTTTCATTACGTGCTACATCGTACCTTGTATATTTATTTATCCTCTTTTTCATAAAATATGTATTACTTATTACCAAATTTCTTTCTACACATAGCTCAATTAAAGGCTCCCCATTTACATTTACCCCTGGCACCCCAAATTTACCTACTACTCCCTCCATAACATTTTTACCCACTTTAGCATTGAAATCCCCAACCACCATTACTCTCACACTTGATTCAAAACTCCCCACGCATTCACTCAACATTTCCCAAAATCTCTCTCTCTCCTCTACACTTCTCTCTTCTCCAGGTGCATATACGCTTATTATAACCCACTTTTCACATCCAATCTTTATTTTACTCCACATAATCCTTGAATTTATACATTTATAGTCCCTCTTTTCCTGCCATAGCTTATCCTTCAACATTATTGCTACTCCTTCTTTAGCTCTAACTCTATTTGAAACCCCTGACCTAATCCCATTTATTCCTCTCCACTGAAACTCTCCCACCCCCTTCAGCTTTGTTTCACTTAAAGCCAGGACATCCAGCTTCTTCTCATTCATAACATCCACAATCATCTCTTTCTTATCATCTGCACAACATCCACGCACATTCAGACTTCCCACTTTGACAATTTTCTTCTTCTTATTCTTTTTAGTAATCTTTACAGGAAAAGGGGTTACTAGCCCATTGTTCCCGGCATTTTAGTTGACTTTTACAACACGCATGGCTTACGGAGGAAAGATTCTTATTCCACTTCCCCATGGATAAATTATTTATTATGGACTCTAATTTTAAATTGGTATATACTTAATTTTGTGTGAAATTTACCAGATTACCAAATTCTGATCACTTTATATTGTTGTTGAAATAGTTGAATTGGAGATTTCTTGTACTCAGTCCATAGAATGCAGGGCATACTAACAAAATAGCTAAGAATTAGCCTAAAATAGTATACAGTGGCAAAATTGCAAGTGCATAAATTATGCCCAGATCAGTAATTTTGCTCCCACATAATTCAGTAAGCTTTCCATCAAGTTTCATACTTTTAGTGTCATTACCTACAGAAAAAGATTCTTTACCTTTTCAATTTTTTTTTTTTTTCAACATGCCGGTTGTCTCCCACCAAGGCAGGGTGACCCAAAAAGAAAGAAAATCCCCCCCAAAAAGAAAATACTTTCATCATCATTCATCACTTTCACCTCACTCATACATAATCACTGTCTTTGCAGAGGCGCTCGGATACGACGGTTCAGAAGTCCCTCCAAACTGCCAATATCCCAAAACCCTCCTTTAAAGTGCAGACATTGGAGAGTTGAAACAGTTAGAGAACTCTGGTCTCTGAAACACACAATGAAACCCAGTACATTTATAGTTTTTTTTATATTTAAGTTTTTATTATTGACAGTTTCAAGTTTGGCGAGACCTATATAATGATTATGATGATGATAATAATAATAATAGAGTTTTTATGAGGATAGTGAGGCTCAGGTTAGGGTGTGTAGAAGAGAGGGAGAATACTTCCCGGTAAAAGTAGGTCTTAGACAGGGATGTGTAATGTCACCATGGTTGTTTAATATATTTATAGATGGGGTTGTAGAAGAAGTAAATGCTAGGGTGTTCGGGAGAGGGGTGGGATTAAATTATGGGGAATCAAAATGCAACATGGGAGTTGGACACAGTTACTTTTTGCTGATGATACTGTGCTCTTGGGAGATTCTAAAGAAAAGTTGCAAAGGTTAGTGGACAAGTTTGGGAGGGTATGTAAAGGTAGAAAGTTGAAAGTGAACATAGATAAGAGTAAGGCGATGAGGGTATCAAATGATTTAGATAAAGAAAAATTGGATATGACATTGGAGAGGGGAGTATGGAAGAAGTGAATGCTTTCAGATATTTGGGAGTTGATTTGTCAGTGGCTGAGTTTATGAAGGATGAGGTTAATCATAGAATTGATGAAGGAAAAAAGGCGAGTGGTGCGTTGAGGTATCTGTGAAGACAAAAAACATTATCCATGGGGGCAAAGAAGGGAATGTACGAAAGTATATTGGTACCAACACTTACATGGGTGTGAAGCTTGGGTTATAAATGCTGCAGTGAGGAGGTGGCTGGAGGCAGTGGAGATGTCTTAAGGGCAATGTGTGGTGTAAATATTGTGCAGAGAATTTGGAGTGTGGAAATTAGGAGGATGTGTGGAGTTACTAAAAGTATTAGTCAAAGGGCTGATGAGGGGTTGTTGAGGTGGTTTGGTCATTTAGAGAGAATTTAACAAAATAGAATGACTTGGAGAGCGTATAAATCTGTAGGGGAAGGAAGGCAGTGTAGGGGTCGTCCTCGAAAAGGTTGGAGGTAGCGGGTAAAGGAGGTTTTGTGGGGGAGGGGCTTGGACTTCCAGCAAGCATGCCTGAGCGTGTTAGATAGGAGTGAATGAAGATGAATGGTTTTTGGGACCTGACGAGTTGTTGGAGTGTGAGCAGGGTGATATTTTGCAAAGGGATTCAGGGAAACCAATTAGCCGGACTTGAGTCCTGGAAATGGGAGGTACAGTGCCTGCACTTTAAAGGAGGGGTTTGGGATATTGGCAGTTGGGAGGGACTTCTGAACTATCATATCTGAGCGCCTCTGCAAAGACAGTGATTATGTATGAGTGATGGTGAAATTGTTGAATGATGATGAAAGTATTTTTCTTTCTTTTTGGGTTTTTCTTTCTATTTGGGTCACCCTGCCTCGGTGGGAGACAGCTGATGTGTTAAATAAAAAAATGGTAATTTTTATTTCTACAAGTACATGATTCAACTTATACAGACCATAGTTGACATAAATGACATACTATATAGAAAGTTCCTGGTTATGCAGAGCATTTCTGGCAACTTAGGTTAATTTTGTCCCCAGGATGCAACCCACACCAGTCATCTAACACTCCCTGTGGATCTGTATAGACAGCAACATATTATGTACATTACTTGCCATTTTACAAATAGACTGTTATGTGAATTTTTTTATAGGTACAGTAGTTTAACATAATTAAATCAATTACTGGTTAAAATATTGTTGTAATTTGATGTCCTCAGCATGGAGAACCTACAACACCATCAACAAAATCAAGAAGAAAATTTCGTTTGCGCAAACACAAATCTAATAAATCAACGAGTGGGGAGATAACCATCAGCACGAGTCCTGGGAAAGGTGCCCCTGATCAAATTGATGCTGTCGTACCTTCACTGGTAAATACATTTTGTTTTTTGACTATACCCTTTTTTTTTGTCTCTTCTTAAAGCTATGTATGGATCCTGCCTCCACTGCATCACTTCCCTGACTATTACATTTCCTGACAACTCTGTGACTAAAGAAATACTTCCTAATATCCCTGTGATTCATCTGAGTCTTCCACTTCCAATTGTGACCCCTTGTTGCTGTGTCCCATCTCTGGAACATCCTGTCTCTGTCCACCTTGTCAATTCCTCTCAGTATTTTATATGTCATTATCATATCCCCCCCATCTCTCCTGTTTTCCAGTGTCATCAGGTTGATTTCTCTTAACTTCTTCTCGTAGGACATGCCCCTTAGTTCTGGGACTTGTCTTGTTGCAAGCCTTTGCACTTTCTCTAATTTCCTTATATGCCTGGCTAGGTGTAGGTTCCAAACTGATGCTGCATACTCCAATATAGGCCTGACATACACGGTATGCAGGGTTCCTAATGATTCCTTTTCGAGATGTCGGAATGCTATTCTTAGGTTTGCTAGGCACCCATATGCTGTGTGTACTTGCCTAGTTGTGGTTGCAGGGGTTGAGTGTTTGGAGTGGAGGCAAATGATTTTTAGGACCTGACGAGCACTGGAGTGTGAGCAGTGTAACATTTTGTGAAGGGATTCAGGAAAATCAGTTAGCCAGACTTAAGTTATCGAGGTGGGAAGGACAGTCCCTGCACTCTGAAGAAGGGCAGGGATATTTGCTGTTTAGAGGGACACCTGAACTGTTGTATCTGCGTGCCTATGGCAAGACAGTGATAGTGTGAATGATGGTGAAAGTGTTTCTTTTTCAGGTCACCCTGCCTCAGTGGGAGATGGCCATTGTGTTTAAAAAAAAATACCTGAACCATTCATAGTAGGGTTAAAAATGCTAAAAGACATTTTCATGGCAAAAGCACTCCACAGAAATAATGTCTTTAATTACTAAAAGCTCTAAATCACAAATTTGATAAAAAAAAAAAAAATGGTCAAGATGTACACAGTGGAAAAAAAAATTACTGAATTCTTATTATTTTTTTTTTTTTTTTTTTTTTTTTTTCTCAACAAGTCGGCCGTTTCCCACCGATATTTCTGAGATGTTTCTTATATTCTGAGTGATCAAACCTTCTCAACAAGTTGATGAGTAAGTCACATGTGCAACAGTTGGGTATCTTTATTGTTGAAACGTTTCACCTACACAGTAGTCTTCTTCGGTCAAATACAGATAATGGTTTGAAGGCAGCAGCAGTGGCGAGGTAAAGATGTCATCAGTCTATCAACCTTGGAGAAACTGAGATACCCAACTGTTGCACATGTCTCTTACTGATAAATTAGACACATGTGCAACACTTGGGTATCTTTAATGAAGAAATGTTTCTCCACACAGTGGCTTCATCAGTCCATACAAAGGAGACTGGTGAACAGGAGTAGTTGGAGGTAATCAGTCCATCAATCTCGAAAAGAATACCAATTTCTTTTCAAGATTGATGAACTAATTACATGGATTGAAGGCTGAGGGACTGATTACCTCAAACTCCTCCTGTTCTTCACCATTCTTCTTTGTATGGACTGATAAAATGCTGGTATCTTTATTCTATCTTTATTCTATCTTTATTCTACCTATTTTATCCCTCTTGTATTCTTTGATTCACCTCATCTTTCATAGACCTGTCTGCTGACATCCACTTCCAAATACAGTATCTAAATACATCCAGTTCCTCCACACTCCTCCTGATTTGGCATCATTACCAACACTTTTTTTGTTACTCTTATCACCTTGCTCTTTTCTATGTTCACTTCTATTTTTTTTTTTTTTTGCACATTCATAACATCCCCAGTCTTTGTAACATCTCTTTAGAATCTAAAAGTATTGTCACTGGGAAAGAGTACACATGATGACTCCCACTTTGTATCATATTATCTTTAAATCCCACATCCCAACACCCCAGTGTTCACTTATTGTATAGCCCCATTTATGTATATATTAAACAACTTATTGACACCACATTCTTGTCTAAGGCTTAATTTTATAAATAATACTAATATAAATACTTCATTTCTAAATAGTTTATCCTGAGCCTTAGACTGCATACAAACTCTCTACCACTTTTAGTAGCTCATTGCTATATATTTGTAATTTTGTAGCCTTGTGGTATTTCATTGTGGTATTTGTAACCTTGTGGTATTTCATCCTTTATATTTAATTTATCACATAATGGTTTTAAGTTTCCTAAAGTTGTAACTCACACTGCATTGTTCTGCTGCACTGTTTTTGAAAAACTTTTAAATAGCCCTTTGGCACCATTTATTTTTTAGTTTTGTAGCTGTGATCTCTTATTACATTTTATACACTTGTTGGTGGTGCTAGGAAATGTTCCATATCAGTTCTTATATATACTTTGATAATCTTATATGTGGTTATTATGTCTTTTCCTTATATCAGGCATTGAAAACATGTCTTCGGCCAGTAGGCTGTTGATGGGCTAGTAGGCCTGTTGTCATGTTCCTCCATTCTCATGTTTGTAAGCTTTTTATTTTATAGCTTTGGAAGCCATTTTGTAGCTTGGCTTTTAACTTTATCAAGCTTGCCCACATCTCTCTCTAAGGTTCAGACATCATACCATTAGTTCATATCACAGTTTTAATTAACATACATTGTGAACACCTTATTTAGTAGTTCACCATCCTTGGTAAAATATGTTAGTATTTGATTTAAGTATACAGAAAGGCCCTGCTGATACAGCAGGTTGGGTTCTGGGCTACTGTTGTACATGACGGCCCTGCTTATACAGCAGGTTAGGTTCCAGACTACTGCTGTATAGGAGGGCCCTACTTACATAGCTAGTTAGGTTCAGGCTACTGCTGTAGTACAGTAGCCTGGAACCTAACCAGCTATATAAGTAGGGCCCTCCTGTACAGCAGTATCCTGGAACCTAACCTGCTGTATAAGCAGAACCCTCCTGTACAGCAGTAGCCTGGAACCTAACATGGTATATAAGCAGGGCCCTCCTGTACAGCAGTAGCCTGGAACCTAACATGGTGTATAAGCAGGGCTCTCCTGTACACCAGTAGCCTGGAACCTAACATGGTGTATAAGCAGGGCCCTCCTGTACAGCAGTAGCCTGGAACCTAACATGGTGTATAAGCAAGGCCCTCCTGTATAGCAGTAGCCTGGAACTTAACATGGTGTATAAGCAGGGCCCTCCTGTACAGCAGTAGCCTGGTACCTAACATGATGTATAAGCAGAACCCTCCTGTACAGCAGTAGCCAGGAACCTAACATGGTGTATAAGCAGGGCCCTCCTGTACAGCAGTAGCCTGGAACCTAACATGGTGTATAAGCAGGGCCCTCCTGTACAGCAGTAGCCTGGAACCTAACATGGTGTATAAGCAGGGCCCTCCTGTACAGCAGTATCCTGGAACCTAACATGGTGTATAAGCAGGGCCCTCCTGTACAGCAGTAGCCTGGAACCTAACCAGCTATATAAGTGGGGCCTTCCTGTACAGCTGTAGCCTGGAACCTAACCTGCTGTATAAGCAGAACCCTCCTGTACAGCAGTATCCTGGAACCTAACATGGTGTATAAGCAGGGCCCTCCTGTACAGCAGTAGCCTGGAACCTAACATGGTGTATAAGCAGGGCCCTCCTGTGCAGCAGTAGCCTGGAACCTAACCAGCTGTATAAGTGGGGCCCTTATGTACAGCAGTAGCCTGGAACCTAACCTGCTGTATAAGTGGGGGCATCCTGTACAGCAGTAGCCTGGAACCTAACCTGCTGTATAAACAGGACCCTCCTGTATAGCAGTAGCCCGGAACCTAATCTGCTGTATAAACGGGGCCCTCCTGTAAACAAATTATGCCATTGGTAGATATTAGTGATGCACAGCTGACCTGTGTTGTTTAACCCTTTGACTGTTTCGGTCATATATAAACGTCTTACGTGCCACTGTTTCGGACGTATTTATACGTGTAAATTCTAGCGGCTTCAAATCAAGCGGGAGAAAGCTGGTAGGCCTCCATGTGAGAGAATGGGTCTGTTTAGTCAGTGTGCACCACATAAAAAAAAATCCTGCAGCACGCAGTGCATAATGAGAAAAAAAAACTGACCATTTTTTTGGGATTAAAATGCCGACTTTGAGGTGTATTTTCATACAGTATTTATAGTTGTATTCTTGTTTTCATGGTCTCACGTGATAAAATGGAAAACATATTACAGAAATAGAGATGATTTCGATTAGTTTCACGATGAAAACGACCTCGAAATTGAGCTCCAAGTAGGAGAAATGTTCAATTTTTACCAATGTTCAGGAGTAAGCAGATCGCACCACACGTCCAATACACGTCAACTGGGGAGTCTGATATTCTTTCACTAGTGCACTGATATTATTTATACCATTTTTACAATAATACAGTAGTCTGCATAACAGTAAATTTTGTATTTTTTGTATAAATAAAAAATAAAAATAGAAAGCAATAGTAATATAAAAGGGGCCTAGAGATGCGACTAATGAATAGAGGATATGTTATTTTAGTGCCAAGAATGTCTACATTGTTTATTCTGGACCCTATTTTGAAATTGGCATCTTTTTCAATTTGTGTGAAATTGGCCAAATTGCCAATTTCTGACCACTTTATTGGGTAGTTCAAATCGGTAAATGGGCGGTTTCTTGTACTCAACTGATAGAAAAAATGGAGTTCTAAAGAAATAGCTATGAGTTTGGTCAACTGGAACATCGGAATTGGCTAAAAAACAGGGCTCAAAGTCGGCGAAATCGCCAATGCGTATATATTGCTGAGATTGCTAACTTCGCGGGAGTGTAATTCCGTGAGTATTCGATTAAATTTTGTACTTTTGGTGTCATTACCATCGGGAATAGATTCTCTATCATTTCATAAGAAAATTAATTTTTTTTTTTTTCAAAAATTTTGCGACATAAAGTGACAGTTTCAGAAAGGGGCTTGCAGCAGTCAAACGGTTAAGGAAAAAATGAAGCAGT